ATAAAGTTTTTTTTCATATACATACACGTTATATAAATTAATAAATAAGTATTTACATATCGTTGCTTTAGATCAGAATTATCCCAAATCCATTTTGAATAGACTGGTTTAACTCACTTACATAGATTTTAGTATCTTTTGCACCGCTGACATAAAAACAAAAGTTCCGTCAGATATATTTTTTTGCTTTTAAAAATTGGTGAGTACTCGTATAAATTTAAAAAAAATTTTGATACGAATAGAAATTAGTTTAAACATTCGATATCCAAGTATTGATAATTGAATTTAAACTATAACCGTGTAAGAAAGATACAAAAGCAAAAAAAATTTATTAAACCACTCACCCCCGAAAAGTTTTTAAGATGTGACTTAGGATGTTTCTGACTAATGTGATTGTATAAATACATGTATATATATATATATATATATATATATATATATGTATACATATAATAATTAATAATTATGATTAATGTTAATATGTAAGTTCGGCTAAGTGCAATTCAATTAATTTATTTTATCAACATAGGTATTTATTTTTTACTTATTATTCTTAAATTTCACAGAATATACTTTTTTGGAATTTAAAATAAGTATGTATACATATATAGCGATCTCTGAACAAACATTGCGTACTAGCAAATTTAATATCATATCTATAAAGTTATTTTATAAAGATTTTGGAACGTATATAAGTATATTTTTATGTTAATATATATATATATGTATATTATGTACACATAATTAATGTAGGATTATATGTACATATATATATATATAAATATATATATATATATATATGTACGTGATCCTACATTATGTTTATTATATAGATGTATATATAATGCATATAAGAAAAAACAACAATTTTTTCACATTTTTTTAAATATTTTTTTTTGTGTTTTGTGGGAAGATTTATTTGTAAATAAACAATTTTTTTATCCTTTTTTAATTTTACTATTATAGTACGATATATAATGTATTTATTTTTAATAGCGATTTTAATGTTTCGATATTATATTTAAATTTAGAAATAACGTTTATAATATGAATACATATATGATGCAGATATATATACATACAGCTTATTTATATTATTAAAGTATTTGTTTTATATAACTACTTTTTGGTTCTATACACGCTGATATTTTTGCAAATGTTTTTACTTTTCTTTTGAATTTTCAATTTTCAATTTATTTTACTCATACGATTTTGCATTACGAATTTTAATTAATCCTGTTATTTAACAAAAAAAAAAAATTATTTAGCAACCTTCATAAAACTAATAAAACTTATTAAGAGATTCGCGAAATTTCATATGTAGACGATATTTTTGAGATATTCATTTCTAAAATTATTTTAATTATTTAGTGTGTTCGATTTATGAAAAATAAAAGGAAATTAACAATGTTGTACATAATTATTTTCTTACTGATTTTGATCAAAAATTTATTAAACTAAATTTTAAATCTATTTAAAGTAAAGAAAGTGTTGTATTAAAATAAAACAAATAAATTTATCAGTCGGAGAATCAATTCAATTTTAAAATTCATAAATTTCGGTTTATTATCTAATATTTTTTAAGCAGTTATTGAATTCATTAAAAAAAATTAATTCTGACCGACTGAAATATTATTTTATTTTATATGTACATACATATATCATTTGAAATAAAAAACATATCGTTCCATTTGTATATTGGAAGATTTTTTATTTTATCCAAATATTTAGCTTTTCCAAAACTTAATATGTATTCAATTTGATGTGTTATTAATATACTTTGAGGTCTTTTTTTTTTATTTAAATTAAAAATTTATAATTTATACAAAAATATTAAATGTGGAATTTTGGATAAAATAAAATATTACGTTTAAATACTTCACGTTTTAATTCAAATACTTCAACATTTAAAATGAAGAATTTAAAAATTTCAGTACCACAAAAATTAAATATCAGAATGTTTAATAAATTGAAGAATTGAAAATTTAAATATTAGTTTTAAATTATTATGTTATTATTATTTTCTTTCAATGTTATAGTACTATGATTTTTTTTATGAGAATTTATGATGTTCTCGGTTCACTGTAGTTAAAAAATGTGTTATTCAATTTGAAAAAAAAAGAAAGAAAAGAGCACATAATCAAGTAAAATATTAGTTATGATTTGGTAATTTAGGCTTTTTTTTATTTCATAAAAAATGCTATATAAGTTAATAAAAGGCTAAACAAGGAATTAATTAAGTTTTCCTTTTATTTTAAAAGATTGAATTTATATTATGTATTTTGTACAAATTTATTTGTCTGTACGGTTTCAGTTTAAAAATTAAATTTAATACTTAATTTTTTTTTTGAGAAAATCAAGAAATTATTTTGGGACATCCATGCAATTTATTAATTGTAAAAGTTTTACAGATTAAGAACAGTTGACAATAATATATTAAAATAAACTTAAAATATGAAGTTTGTTCAATATTTTTGTAATATTTTTGCCGAATATTGATATTTCACATTAGTATATACAATTCTGTAAAGATTTTGCTATTGAAAAAATTGATTTTGCTATTTGAAAATTTTTGTTACAAATTACTAATTAATATGAGAACACTTATATAGTGTTCGAATCTAAATAATTATATTTTAATTTAAATCTACAACATTTCACTAGAAAATGTTCGTTTCAAGACATAAAGACATGTACAAAACTAAAAAAATTAAGAGAATAAAATAATATAATCAAAATTAATAAAGAATTAATATTTTTCAATAACTGGCATTACACTGTAATCATTTCGATGAATTTATTTCAAACGTATTTACAAATTTATAACAAAATAAAAATTTTCCTGTTCTCAATCTAAATTCATCTAAGTTTTTATTTTCAAAATTTACATAATGCAATTGTAAAATTTCGGAAAATGTATTCTTGACTACTCTTATTTGTTAATAATGTCATATTAGACGAGTGAAGCTTTAAAACTGAAAAATTTACCGAAATATTGGTAGAAAACAATCATAGTTTAAACGTTTGATTTGAGATACATACTTAAATAAAAAAATATCTTATACTTGTACTTATGAATGGTTAAATTTTTTGCATAATAACAGAACCGCAATTTTCGATTATTTGATTTTAGTATTGCTTTTTTATAAAAATCAAAACAAAACAAAAGTATTTTCATCATTTATTACCTTTTTAAAGTATTAAAACTCTGTTTAATACTTTAAAACTTTCTTAACTTAATGCTGTAAGATTTATTACAATAAGATACAAAATAATTTCTTAACTTTCCCCTCGGTCATTGAAAAGCCTATCAAAAATTTTGAAATTTGATTGCAACAATAAAAATATACTAAAATAAACGGAATTATTCGTCGTAACATGCACAATATAAATAATGGTTAGTACGCAAATTTTGATTATTTTTGTCTTTAAACATAAGTATCTAAAAATTAAAAATTTAATACAAAACTTAAGAATTGCAAACAAAGGCAATAGAAAACAAACATAAAAAAACCTTAAACACAAAGTTATAGGAACCAAAGAAATAAAAGTTTAAAAAAAAAAAAAAGAAAATATATTGCACACTATTCAAAAGTGTAAACATAATACACAAACAGAACATAAAAAATAAAGTTTTCAATGAATAATATTTTGCTTTTGAATTTAAAATTAAATTTCAATTTATTTTCAAACAAAGTACTTTTTAAAACAAATATTACATTTTTAAACACTTCAATAAAAAATTCAATATAAACCATAAACAAAAATAATAATAATTAAAACAAAAAATTGTATATTTGATTTTCGCATGCAAGTTTTCAATTACTTTTTTTTTAAAATAAACTTAAATTTAAAAATTAATTTTCTGCTTTAATAAGAGGAAAGTTACCAACATTTATAATACAATATACTAAAAACAGTAAAGTTGAAAGATAATAAATATTGGAAAAAATTTAAATTTAATAGTATTTAAATTTTAAAATATTTACTTGTTTTAAAGCTTTTTACATTATTATATCAAAAACCAACATTAGTTTATTTAAAATTATTTTTACATGAAGGAAACTTGTTATCTATGGTATTTAAAGCCATTTTGTACATTTTAATATATTTTCACACTAAACAATGAGTACAAAATAAATATAAAACTTAACTTTTTTAATTAATTAGTACAGAGTTCTTTAGTAATAGTAAGATTCTAGTGTGTTAGCATTTAAAGGCTTTGGAACATAAAACAATTCCCTTTCAAAAACAATTTATATATGAAATTTTATTTATTATTTAGATTGGAGAATTTTGTTTTTAAAGAAAGTTAGATCTTTAGTTTTTTTTAGAAAGGAAATAAAATTTAAAAAATTGTCACTTTAAAACTGAAAAACGCACAATTCCAATTTTCTCATTTTCTAAATTATTCAATATTTTATGTCTTTATATTAATGTAGTAAAATTGTGAAAATCAAATATTTTATTCACATAACAATTTTTTCTCTAATAATCTGCGATTTTTAACAGAAAAATTATTTTTGGTAATAAATAAGGCTAGATCTTTCCTCTTATTTGAATATGATTATACATAAAATTATGATTATCATGCAGAGGTTAGTATTTTCTTTTACAGTTTCTGTGATTGTTAGTGTTTTAAGGATTTGCAAAAGTTTAATTTTACACATTGCTAGTAGGGATTAGTGAGTTAGAATTTTACTTTTCTTATTTTTAAAATGGAATGAACTACAGGGAAGAAAAGTACAAAAAAGGAAAAATAATATAGGTACATCAGCAAAGTTATAAATTTCACTTTTGAATTATCTTTAAGAAGTTAACATATAAAATAAAAGTTCATTGAATAGAAATAAAAGTAAAAAATAAATTTTGTTAAATTTGAAAGCCAAACAAAAGTGCGAAAACCAATTTGCTTCAATTAGGTACATATTTCGAATAACTTAATATAACTTTTATAATATTCACTACCAATTATTCCAAGAAGGATTGCTTGTACGAACCTTATTGTCAAAGTCATCGAAATCTGCAAATCCTCCACCACCTGTAGATCCGAATGCGTCCTGTGTTGGTGGAGCTGGGCGTGTTGGACCCTATAAATCAAAATAAATGGTTTTTGCTTTAGAGTTTTGGTACTTATTAAATATTCATCATAATTTGATTATACCTGTAAAGGACGTGGTGGTGCTGGTCTTGGTGGTGGTTGTTTAGATTTCTTTGGTGGCAAGGCTGGACTAGGTGACTCTGGTCTTGGCGGTGGACCTGATTTCTGTGCATTGGGACTTAATATTTTGCCCTGACCAGTTGGAGCATGCAGTGACGCAAATGGATCGCTACCAAAGTCATCTTTCCCTGGTGGTATTGGTGATGCTGAAGTTTGCCTAGCATCGTTAAAGGGATCTGCTTTTAAATTACTACCTGCGTTTGTTCCAAAAGCATCCCCACCAAAACCATCATCAAACTTAGCATTGAATGTATCACCATCTCCCCATCCATTATTATTGTTCACCATTGAAGATGAGAATGCATCATGGTCACCAAAACTATCTGCGACTTTCGTCGTATTAGACGTTTCATTTGCACCACTAAATGGATCAGGTTTTGTTTCTTCTTCCTGTGGAGGCTCAAATGATTTTTCTAAAAGTTGACGAGCTTCTGTGAAATCAGGTTCAATTTGAAGTGAATATTCAGAAACAATATGTGTATCTTGGGAGTCTACAGCAGCTTTACATAACAGAAGTGCATCCGTCATTTGACGTTCTAGTTCTAACAATTGTGTAAGGCTAGCACGTACCTTATTTAAAAATACATAATTTTTTTTTATTTCAATATTTTAAATTTGAATAAATTAATTTTACCTGACTAATTCCTAATTGAGTATAAGACAATTGATTTGTTAATTTATCCAATTCTTTGCGATTTAATTCGTATTCTTTTTCTAATGCCGTTTCTTCATCTTTTAGTTTTTGTAACTCAGAACGTTTAGCATTTAGCTCTCCTTCTTGTTCATTTATGGTTTCTTCTTGTTTTTGACATTGCTCTCTAATTTTGTTTACCTGTATATTTATACACATATAATACCAGTTTGTATAATGCAATTAACATGCATTTATATATACATATATAAATAAATTTTTTTCAATTAACATTCCATCGAAACTATTATTTTCAACTTTCACTTACACAATATGTTTATAAAAAATGAATAAAATAGTACACAAATAAGATCATTTTCATTTTGAATTAAAAAAAACACGATATACAATTACAGTACTGCAACTCCATACTATATAATTATTACTAATCATTTTCAATTTTAACCGATAGGTAATTAGAATCAAAACTTTATTTTTATTAAGAAATAGAGACAAAAAATTGCTTGGACATTTAGTAAATGAAAATTTTATTTCTATAACAATTTTTTACCAATTTTTTAATAGTTTTGAAGGTTAAAATGTTTCTTTAAACAAAAAGTTTATAAAAATCTATTACCAATTCAAAATGAAAAAGGATGCAAATGAATTAAATTTTTATATACTACATTTAATACTTTAGGGAGTTTAAACAAATAAACAACTGTTTTAAAAAAAAATCATCAAACAAAAAAAAACGAATCAACCCAGTTTCGATAGTCTAAACCAAAAAATTAAAACACAAAATGAAAAATGAAGTCAAAACAAACCTTATATCGCGTAACGTCAATTTTGCCATTAATTTGTTCAATTTCATCAACAAAAAAATCCGTCTTAAATTTTTAAGTTAAAATTTGTTTAAAGTGAATTAAAAAAAAAAAATATAGGTTGTAAACCAATATTTAAAAAAAAAAAACGAACTAAAATACTACATTACATTAATGATTGCAATATGCTTTTATATTCATATACGATTTAATATCAACCCAATTTAATGTTTGCTAGGTGTTTGATCTTTTAGAAAACTTAACATTAAAAAATTTTATAAAAATTGGCTACTTTTTCATGTATTTTATGTATATAAAATTTTTTTGACATTCAAAGCAATTAACTCTTACTTGATTTTTCAAATCATCTAATCGTTTTTGCGCTTCCCCTTTTTGGTTTTCTAATTGTTTTAATGTTGCCATTAGTGTATCAAGCTCACTCTAAAATATTTGTAATTGAATTAATAATTTTTATTGAATGCTGTATTAAAATTTACCTGAAGACTTCGAATTTCTCCAGTTTTTATTCTAATATCAGCTTCCTTTTGAGCTATATCCGTTTCAAGAGCACGTCTTTCACGGGACAATTCCTCAATTTCCTTAGAAATCATTTCCAATTCTGGATTTGAATATGTGGGCTTGGGTTCCTAAAATATATGTTGTTAAAATTTTTCACTTTGTTTTCACTTTTACATACAGCTGCAACAACGTCAACGCCTTTCACTATTGCTCTTAAGCTAGGCGGCACCATGTTGGGTGTAAGAGCCTCCGGGGGCTCAATATTCATTTTTTTTCGTTCCACCATCCACATAGCTAATGCGAATTGTTCTAGTGTCAATTTCCCCGTTTGATGTGTGTCGCATAAAGCCCTTTAAAATTATTATATACAATTTTATATATATTTTTAAAAAATCATTTACAATACCATATGTGAGCTAAACAATTTTGGGGTACACCTGATTGTAAAAATACATTTTTGACCTCTAAACCTGAAACCAAACCGTCTTTGTCACGGTCACTTTCCCTGAACATCGTTTCGTATCGTAGTAATTCAGGAGGTGTAATTACCCAATCTACAGGTTGTTGTGTCGTTGGTGCCGTCGCGGTAGGTATTATTGGTTCAGTTGATATTAGATTTATCGCAGACGAGGGCTGTATACTAGGAGGAACCATTGGTGGAACACTTGACAATGGTGGTAATGGAGCTGGTATAGCTGCCGGTATAGGTGGCACTGGAGGCGGACCAATATCTTTTGGGAAATTCGCGACAAAACCACCATCATTGAAGTTACCACTTGGAGCTTTAGGCATGGCTGGAGCAGGTGGTACTGGAGGTGGGGCACCCGGTTTTGGCTTTTGCAATTCAATTGGCAATACTTCTGGTACTGCTCGTTTTTCTAATGCTTGATATACCAGATGCATTGCAATTGTAAATTCATGTTTGTCCAAGCTACCGTCTCTATCCTGATCAGCAAGATCCCATATTTTTCCTAATGTTTCCATTGGTAACTTTGAATCCATCAACACTTTCTTAACGCTACCACCATGTAGTAAACCATTAACTGGTTTTAAAGACTGAAATAAATTTTCATATTTTTCACGCTCTCCTGGTTTCATGGCCCAATCGTTACTACCAGGCGGTCCTGGCGTAACTTTTTGTGGAATTATTTTAGGAATTTCACCCTATTGATATAAAATACGTTAAAATTAGAAATTTTTAAATTAAATTAAAAATATCATAAAATAAAAAAACAAAAAGATTTTATTAGAATGAGGCACTTACCACTCGGGGAGGATTTTCTGTTTCAAAAAATATATTGCTCATTTTTATTACCTGCCCGCATTGAGCTAAAAAATATTATAAAATTTTTTTCTATATCAATATTTACAAAATTTTCTTACCTAGAGATACTAATTTTAAAGCAACAAAAAATCCAGGTTTATCTAAATAACCTTTAGCATTTGGGTCTGAAAGATCCCATATACGACTAAGAACAACATCACTTAATGCGGATTTCTTTAGAAATTTTGCAGCATCCATGGCTTGGATAGTCCCAACGCCTTTGGGATCAATTTGTCTATAATATGCTTCAAATATGGCATTATGTTTGCCAGACACCTGCGAAATGGTTATTTTATATAATGCTTATAAGTATGAATTATATTTTAACATATAAATAATTTAAAAAAGGAAAATGCTTTTGCACAATTTTTTTTATAAACGAATTATCACGAATTTTTATATTTAAAAAAAATCTTATCAGATCGATAAAAACATCGATTATTTGACAATTACAATTCTTTTTAGTACCACCCTTGGTAATTGTTTTCTGAATATCTGGAAAAGTGTATGATGAAAGTACAATATTTTGCTGCTTCATTTGAAGTTCAGAATAACATATTATTTTTTTGTTCAAAAAATATAGAATTAATAAGCCCAATCATATTTTAAGTAAATTTTTCTTACCTTAGTCGGACTAGGTAGCGCCATATTTTCCTACTTTATGTCGTTTTTTTTCTCCCACTGTCTACTGTCAAAAATTCTAATTTAATTTTCAAATGTCATTCTAATGTATTAAAAACTGCCAATTTCATTAATGAGGTCGAGTTTTTGGAAATTACATGAATGTTACAGAGGCTCCTTCACGAGACAGAATTAATTAATTTTCCCCTAGTTATCTTATTAAAATATGTTAAGCTTCGTCTTGAGAATGTGCCTTTTGTCATAAAAAAACTGTTATTTAATTTTTCCTAAATGACAACTTGCGATGTACTAGTTTTAAACACGAATAAGTTAATCCGCCAAATTATTCCAAAATTGATACGCGCATTTGAAATAAAAACAGTATAAAATTTAAAACAAAAACAATAGGTCTGTCTGGTATACCAAAGTTTTTAAAAACTTTTTATTTGAACAAAAATGAGAGAAAATGATGACATTTTCATTTTCACAATGTTCAAATTTTTTTCAAAAAATACATAAGTACATGTTTTTCTTGGTTATGTGAGATGGTTTTAGTTTTGAAAACAAAAAAATTTTCATTAATAAAAACTTCTTTTTCAAAACTTTTCATTTTGGTTATTTTAACCCATTTTGGTTATTTTATTTTGATTAAAAAGTTTTGGAAAAAAATTATTGTTGAAGAAAAATTTTTTTTTGAAAAATAAAACATTCTGACATAACCATGAAAAAACATATATTTCGACAGCTGTAACATTTCAAAAATTTTTAAAACACAAAATTTGAAAAAACTGCAAACATTGAGAAAATGAAAATGTATTCATTTTCTCTCATTTTTGTGTAAAAAATATTCTACACGCTTTGCGTACGAAAATTTTATAAATTTTTTTAAGTTTTATACAGTTTTTAAAAACTGTTTTACCAGACATACTTAATGTTAAATTATTTTAGTAAAATTGTATCCCCATATCTCCTTTCTTATCCCATTAGTAAAATTACTTACTGACTTTTAAAAATTCAATTGCTGTGTAAAAATAATAATACACAGAACAGAGCTATAGTAAGACTAAAAAGATATAGTTTAAATATTACAGAATGCACTTTAGAAGAAACAAAAATTAAACATGTCATATTAAAACTTTATAACTTCTCCAATTTTACATCGATTTACATAAAATTTTTGACTTTTTGTAAATAAATAATTAATGGAAACAACTGTTGAAAGCAATAAAGATATACAAGTACTATGTTATAAAAAAAATGCAAAGCCAAATAAAAATAAAAAAAAAAGTTTAATATTTATGTTTTGGTATGAATGTTAGATCTTCCGTTTTTGAAGATGAAGAAGGCGATTCTAAAGATTCGCTTTCCACTCTCAATCTTTTCCTTGTATGACCAACTACACTATCGTCATCACTGCTTACATCAATCTTGTCCAAAGATTCATCCTTAGATGTGAAATTAGAGCTCAATTCAGAGTCCAAAATATTATCATCACTCGACATGGCTACGTTTTTCAATGCGAAAAAAAAGACGTTTTTCAATGCACTGAAATGGCAGCGCTACCGCGCCGCTTAGCTGTATTAGATGTAACATCGAAGCGCGACGGCGCCGCGTAGCGGTCAAACGGTTAAAGATATACGCTTTTGAAGTTGGAAGATACACTTTACTTATGGTTGGCAATCCAGGATATATGATTTGACGTTTTTTTTGACATGTTGTGCCTGTTTTAAAAACAAAAAATTACAAACTACACACTCTTTTTTAAAAATTATTTTGTGAAAAATTTTACTAGAATTAATGGATCAAAATGGACAGAAATAAGCCAGGAAGTTCGCGCTCTTCTAAAGCTAAAATAGGTGCTCCTCATGGCAGTGAACTTTTCGCATTAGGAACAAAACCAGCTTCGAGTTCGGGTGATAAAAAAATAATATCCAGTGTTACAGATCGCAAAAGGGAACCAACGACCAGCTTAGTTGGGTCATCAGTTCCAAAGAAAACAAAAATAGGTGGAACTATTGGGAATGTACCAAGATTATCGGGCGAAGGTAGTAGCAGTTCCAGTTCTCTTGAACCTTGGTAATATTTGTATAAGTTATTTTTATCTACATTTTACCGAATAATTTTTTTACAGGGAACAAGCAGCGGTAGAATGTGAACCACAAGATCTAGTTAATTCCGTATTAACAGCAATTGACCAACAGGATTCAGACACAATTGTTGGACTAGTGTGTGGTGCGATAAAATTGATTGCTTCTAATAGAAATAAAACTGACAATATTCTTTCGTTGTCGTTACTGTATTTGGCAAAATTGCGACCCACTTTATTTTGCAATTATGTTGTTACATCAGCTTTGATTTCAATTTTAAAACGTGATATTCATAATACATTTAAAGGAAGAAGTAATCCAACAGCACACATTTTAGCCGCAAATCTTCTTGCTAGGGGTTATCATGATAAAAAAACTTGGCCAGAAGTTTTTGTGAAAACATATATAGATGATGCAGCTAATGAGAGACTTTGGGTCGACATTTGCGATTGTGCGCCTTTTGTAGAAAATATTTGCACTGCTTTTAAAACTAAAATTCCACCAAAATCCTTACTGCAACCAGAAGGCGGTGGCGGGACCCCTACCTCCACATCAACAAATGTTCCATTACCAGGTAGTTCGAATAGAGAATATTTGGTAATCGATGATGATTCTGGAGACAACTCGTTGCATGGAGAAATAAAAACAAGTGACTTAGAATGCCCAGTTCAAGATCGATATGCCAATAATTCTAACATAGTAGAAAAATATGTCTCTGATATTATAAAAGAGCAATTGAATAGAAGACAACAACAAGATTGTTCAACCAGAAATTTTTTGAAATTTCTTTCATCTACTTCTGGTATACCAGAAGTTAGATCATTGTCGATTTCTCGACTTGAGTTATGGATTCATAACGGAAAACTAATGAGACCTGCTCAAGAACTTTTAACCTATATATGTTATAATATTACAAGTCATTTGCAAAAAGATCATGAAGTTTTAGCAACGTTAGTGAAAATGAGGTTGAAGACTAAACCATTAATAAATATTTACATGCTATGTCTTAAAGAAATGCTTCTTCAGCAACCAGATATACTTTTTATAGCTCTTAAATTAGTGGTTCAAAACGAATTATCAAACGCCAGAAACCCGAACAATATGGGAATGCTAGGTAATTAATTTTAATAATCTGCATGTTTAATTCACGAAGGTTTTAAATTTTTAGCAAATATGTTTCAAACCAAACCTGAACAGTCTGCAAAACATTTGGCTGAAATTTATCAAGAGTTTTTATTGCAGCGTGAAGACTGTTTACGAACTTTAAGAGTTTTTCTAAGAGAATTGGTGAAAATGCTGCGCTACGACATAAATTTGGTTGAATTTTGTAAATCATTTTTAGTTTCAAGACCAGATCTTGCACCACAAATTCAACAGTCAGAATTTAAAGAAAGAATATTTTTGGCAATAGTTGAAATAACTTGCCTTTGTATGTTCTTAACAGTATCACCTCAAGTACGAGAGGCTAATGTTTCTTTAAGAGCTGGAAGAGATATGCGAAACAATCCAATCCTTCTAGCATTTTATGCCCAAATGTCACAAATTCAGCTGGATGCCCTAACATGGATGCATCAAGTTGTTCCAATATTATTTAATCCGCAAGCAAATGAGTACACCCAAGCGCTCCATCGTATTTTGTTGTTAGACTCCCCAGAACAATATTCCAGATGTGATCAATGGCCTCCAGAACCAGAGCGTGTAGCTCTTCTACGTTTGGTCTCAGAAACTCCTGTCCACGAGGATTCCTTGTTGAGAATAATATTAATTGGAATCACAAAAGAAATTCCTTTCAGTATTCAGGATACTTATGATGTTATAGAACAGACAATTAAAAGAGCTTCAGCTTTAAAATGTATCGATTATCCAGCCGTCGAGGCAAATAAAGTTGATATAATTGATTTTTTATTTAGTATGGCAGAATATCATCATCCGGAAAATATTCATTTACCTGTAGGTTATGAGCCTCCAAAATTGGCTATAACCACTTTATATTGGAAGGCGTGGGTTATTTTGCTAATGCTTTCCTCACATAATCCTTCAACATTTGGGGCTTACTGTTGGGAACATTATCCAATTTTGAGAATGTTAATGGAGATTTGTATCACAAATCAGTTTCATGATATTAGAATTTCAGAAGAATTGCAATTGTCAGTCCTAGAAAAACAAAATATTTTGGAATTCGAAACTCATCTTGCAGCAGCATCTTCAAAAGTTGTAATAACAGAACAAAATTCGTTATTATTGTCTCAGTTGACATGGATGGATCCTATGGGCCCACCAAGACGTCCGCCTAACTACACTATAGACAATTTGCAACAATTAAATGCGACTTATAAGTTTGGACATTTATTGTGCCGAAGTCGAAAACCTGATCTATTGCTAGATATAATACAGAGGCAAGGAACTACTCAATCAATGCCTTGGCTAATTGATTTGGTACAAAATAGTGACGGCGATTTTAGTCATTTACCCGTACAATGTTTATGTGAATTTTTATTAGCTAATTCGTCTAATATGAGCTCAGATAATGTTAGAGATGTTGAATTACTTGAATATTTGAGAAATTTTCTAAGAAATGAAAATGCTGATAAACAAACTTCCTGTGAAGTAAGTAAATAACTTTAAATATTAATTAATATAGAACTTTAAATTTTAGGTTTTGGAGTATTTTCTTCGTCGATTGGCGTCAACATGTAAGCAGTCTCGGATTATGGCGACAAATGCATTGAAACTGTTATTGCAAACTTTTAAAAAACCTGATGATGAAGAAGATCCTGCAAGTGATTGGTTACTTAGACATCTTCCCCATATTCCACATTTTATTCATGCCCGTCCACTAATAATTCTTCAGCTAAGAGCAGCGTGTCAAATTGAAAACAACCCAGAACTTGTAATGATTTATATACAGTTTATTGCAGCCCATACCTTGCATGATCCTGTCCCAGATATGCTGGATCATGTAATGGATATGTCGCAATTAATTGTTGAACGAAGTACAATATTTCAACATATTATACCCATACAAACACCTTCTACAATGATGGTAGGTGAACCCAATGAAAACGAGCAACAGAATCGATTGCAAACTTTGAATTGCCTATTTGTGATGTTCAATAATTACATAATAAAGTTACGTGATACAAAACCACCATATGAATGGGCTGAATATCCTGACCTATTAATGGTTCATTTTGATGATGGGGTGCAACTGCCCATCCACTTGAATATTATTCATGCGTTTGTTATTTTACTAACCCATTCAACGACAACAATTCCAAATTCGATTCCAATATTAGATTATTGGTTTCCTCCAGGGCGACCAATACCTCAAGCTTTTACCATTGAAACAAATGAACCTGTAACATTTTTGCCAGATTGGTTAAAGCTAAAAATGATTCGTAGTCCGGTAGACAGATTAGTGGAGGCAGCTATGCATGACTTAACGCCAGACCAAATTGTTTTATTCGTACAAAATTTTGGCACTCCAATAACATCTATGTCAAAGTTACTCGCGTTATTGGATCAAGCAGTAATTGAACAATTTCAAGCAGTGAGAAATGCAGTACTAAATAAAGCATATCTTGCACAGTTAATTGAAATTCAAAGAGCGCGTGGTGCTAAGAATGGGCATATAACTGTCACAGCTTTAGAACTATGTGCTACCTCTTCTCCTGATCTGCCAAAAACTGGCATTTATGTTTTAGAGTCAATTAACTTGGATCAATTTCAAACAATTTTGTCTACTGAAAAACCTCAATCATCTTCAAAAGGATCAAAAGAAGTTGATGAAATTGTTGATATAATTTTGAAAAATCCAAATATGACCAAACTCAACAACATACGATTTAGAAAACTAATTCATCAACTTTTAGGAAGAGATCAAATTTCTTCCGTGAAAAGAACAACTAAACCACAAGACATTCAAGTATTTTCTTCTGGAAAAGCATTATTATACCTAATGAGATTAGTAGAATCCCCTCATGGTCCTTACGTTTTTCAAAATATATTTCAAAAAACACACGCGTGCACATTTTTTAGAGCATTATTAACTTATGTTCCCGAAAAAGTGGAGAACCATAACTTCATGTTACAAGTAATTGACAAAATCATACTTAGTCTCAGTGCTACTCCTGATTTAGAAAATACAGCTTTATTAAATATTTTGACCAATAAACGAAAAACTTTCATTCGTCATACTCTAGATGCAAAAGTTATTCAAACTGAAAAACAAGATTTCATTCAAATTTTGATGACTGAGAAGGCTACTGAACTAGAATGTCAAGGACGAAAATTTGTTAACGATATGATTGAACATCGCAAAACAGAAAATTTGGTTGAAGCTCTAGTTTCAGTACTAAAAATTGATTCAAATAAAAACGAAGTAAAAATGGAGGAATGTTGTTTTGACAAAAAAGGAATTTTGGTCGATTGGTTAGCTGAAGTAGATTCTGAATTAATTACAGTTAATAAAATTTTACAAATGGATTTACTATTTGGATGTACTTCAAATGAGTTTAAGTTTTACATGTTATCATTACTATGTCATCAAGCAAATTGGCAAACTTTAAGTGAAAGTTTAAAATTTTTGTTGTCAATATACAAAAAGAATTACGATTGCTCAGCCGTATTGAATTTTATAGATGCTTTAATACATAACCCAAAAATGTGGCAAGGCCGCGATAAGGCTGTTCCCAAACACGAACAAAAAGAGTATATTTTAACTTTAACAATGCCTCAAGCAAAAGTTTTTACAGAATATGCCCTGAACGAATCCCTCAAAGAAATTGAATTAAATGGGGAGTCAAATGTGACAAACGAAAAATTGAGCTCAAGAGTTACATTATTTATCAAAATTGTTGACGAAAAAACTTTTGAAATTATGGAACTAGTACAGTTTGTTCGGTCCTACGATTGTTTAGACACCCTCAAGCAAAAATTTTTACAACAAATCTATTTGATGCTACCGACAATAAAATTTCTGGATGATGAACTGGAAACAATATACACAACAAATGCACAGAATCTTGTGGCTTGTAGATCTGATAAAATAACAAATTTCATAATTACAACGTTTACAAGTCTCCAAACACAAAAGGATTACCAAGCAATGGGAAGCGATTCTGAACTTTTAATACGCAAATTAGCCGCATCACATCCAACATTATTTTTGCGACAACTGGCAGTGTTATCAGCGTTGATACAAGGGAAAGCACATATGGACATACAAGTACTAAGAACTGAATACCATGTATCCAGATTACATCAAGTGGTAAGAATTTTAGAACTTCTTCAACCATTAGTATTTGAAGATGTTTACAGACAAGCGTTTCAAATGTCCTTGGATTGTTATTTTATGTTTTTCAAACACCATTCCCGCGCTAAGGAAGCTTACCCGATTTTGTTAAAATTTGTAGAGCTTCTTCAAGCATATATCAACAATAACCCAGTAAGTGCTTTAGCTTATATTGAACAATACACAGGCTTGATGCAGGAATTATCAATAAAATTTCGTGGTTTGCAAGCCTTAAATCAACTTGTACAGGGTTTATCCTTATTAAAACATAAAACTTCTACCAAACCAGAGTTAAATGATGAGGAAACTTCAAAACAGGAATTTGATTTAGATGAACAGGAACATAAACCAACACCACCCATTATACAATTAGACACTGAAGAAGCTGTAACCAGTGCATCTAACACAACATCGCAACTGGACATAGAAAGTAGAGGAGCTGCATCATTTGCCTTAGGCGGTCCTCATTCAAAACAAGCTCAAATCTCACCCCATTTTCATAATTTGGTTAATATTATACGTCATTCAAGTTCTGAAGAGGTCATATTGCAACCATTACAAGATATTGAAAGTCTTACATTTAAGAGAACAGCGCTACTTGATGAACTATATGAAAGACTTTTAGAACTCATATTTTCACCAAGCACACAAATTCGTACAAATGCTTATATTTTGCTAATAAGACATTTAAAACATAATCCAGGCAAAAAAGACGTTAACAAAACTACTTTATTAGCTTATATTCAATGCTTGAAAGACGAAAATTCCGCAGTTGCGTCTTCAGCTGTTGATAATTTGATTGAAATTGTAGTTTGTTTACAAGAATATGCATCAGAAATTCTAAGAACTGTTTTTGAGTTAAATGTTGAATCAAAATTAAATACAACAACGCAAATTAAAAAATGCTTACAAACATTAAAATTACAACATGGATGTTAAATGGTACATGATAACAAACTACTATATAAGTTTTAAATATATATTAGCTTTATAATATAGTTAGTAAGGAGAACAAATTTTATCAATTTTATAAATATTGAATCAATGAAATAAATGAAAAATTCGTTACATGTGTACTCTGCAAACAATATTTTGACATACCTTCAGTTGCGATTATCTTGCGAATTTTTGTTAGTAATAACTGATGTGTTATAAATTTAATGAAAGAATGCTTAAAAGTAGATTTCAAATAGTAAAAGTATGAGAATTCGAAAGTACAGATGCTTTTGAAAGATTAGATACTTTAGGGTTATAAACGCTGTCACTTTGGTTATTAATTATTATTAAAATCGAATAATTAAAAGTTCATTGATATGATTGCTGTATTCAATTTTGGTAATCTTTAAATTATTCGAACTACTTTATAAATAAATGAATACAATTTGGTATTTTCTGATTATTATATAAATAGTTTTAATTCCTATTATTCACTTGACGTCATAACAATAATTCCTTGCTAGAAATTGATGTAAACATAATTAAATAACTTTATAACAATCAATACTACAGCGGTTGCACTTTCAAGGTTATATAATAAAAAAATATAAACAAAAAAAAAATATATACATGTGTATGTATATACTTATATTAAAGAAAAACCGTGCAATGAATGCATAAACGTCTTTATGCTGTAATATTCATCGTATTTTTATTTTATGATTCTTAATTACTGAAACGTTCTTTCAAGTGATTCCCCTCGGATGGTTGATCAGAGAATTACGCGAATGAATAAACATTGTTGATAGTAATCTATGAGCAAATAACATATTATTTAACAGTATGTTATCATTAGTATTAATGCAAAAATATTAAAATGAAAGTAATTATAATAATTAAATTGTACTTACAAAAATTTATTAATGAATCAACATAGAGCATTAATTTATTTTACATTTTTGTGATTACATGTATTTATTTCTAAATAATCAAGTTTAGGAAGCGGAAATAAACTTAATTTTGTTTTCAATTGCTTAAAAACCAAATGACATTCAAAGTTCAAAAATATATTAAAAATAGCAAAAATAAAAAGAAAAACAGGGGAAGCTAATGCCGAAATAAATCTTATTTTATAAAGATAAAATTTTGAATCGTATAGTTGAAGTAACCAAGTTAATCATTTTAAATTGAATAATTTTGATCTATTTGAAAAAAAAAGTTGAAACATAAAAAAAACAGACTGAAATACTGTTATACAATAGTTGTTCAAATTTATTTCAAAACTATTTTACTGTTGATCATTATCTAGTAACAAAAATATTGGGTTTCACTCTAGTTATTTGCCATCATAAAACGGTATAGAAAATATTGTTGTTGAAAATTATTCCCATGTTACTGTACATGTTATATAGCTCAACCTTTGTATATGTCGTAAATGGAAACAGAATTTTGAATATAAAAAATATATCTTCTGATTTGGTTTTTAGTTTTGCTTTTTTTTTAACCATTCATATATTTCATAAACACATATGTATATGTTATATAAAGTTTAATTTTAGTTGGTAAGTAATCTTAATTATTAATAGATTACATTATTATTTCTTTCATTTAAAAATCCTTATATTTTCTTTTCAATACTATAAATTATTTTTACTTGTTATACAAAGTTCCTTTTAATAAACACAGAAAATCAATTTATTGTGCTTTTAGCAGCTTTTGACAAAATAAAATTATTTCATTGTGAAATGCATATGATTGTACACAGGCGCGGTTCTGATGTATTCGTCGCCCTAAGCGATTCCTAAAAAGTGCGCCCCCCCCCCCCCCCCCTTCAACCTTTTCACCTATTTTATTACTGTGAACAAAATTTAATAGGCATTGCACATTGTGCATCATAAAGCAGTTTCTTGTAACCTTATTGTGCTGAATTATAGAATTAAAGTCTGGAACTAAACTTTCAATTTTTTGTTTTATAAATTCAAAAACAAGATAATTTATTTAACTGTATGTTTTTTTATGAAGTTATGATCAGATTTATATCAATCACTTAAACTTGATTTTTTGATTTTAACAACCAAAAAATTTACTTTTTGACGTAAGTGAAACTTATTGTACAAGGTTCTATGAAAATTATATCAAATGAACTTTTTCAAAGCTTATTTGAATATGAAAAAAAGTAAAAAATTATTTTTATTTTTATTCGTAATTTTATTTTTATTTTTATAATTATTTTTATTTTTATTCGTAAAATTTGGCTTTTTATTTCACAAATCGCCTGAGAAATGAAGCAGCGTATAAAAAAAGTTTCGACTTGCATTCAAAAATTTAAGGAAAATCAAAGTTTCGTTCTAAAATTTGTGACTTAAAAACTAAGCTTTTCATGTACATAGCTATAAGCTTTTATACTGTTCATTATATTTTTTAGATTTTATTAAAATAAATGCATTTACTGGTATTTATAGGCTCGTGGTTTTGAAATTTCAGAATGTCGTTTTGCTTAACTGTTTTAATTTTGGAGATAAATGTGTGAAGCAAATTATGCGCCATTTCATTTTACTCTTATTTTTTGGATGACTTACACTACATCAATTCAGCATAAAAATTCTTAACATTCACTTGATTATTAAACAACATTTTTCAATTCAATATAAGTAGTAGATTTTATCAATTAAAATTTAATTCTGTGATTGATAACAGTTTTTTCAAAAACGAAAGCAGAACATAGTAGTAGAAATTCATAACGATCATGTAATTTTAAAATTCATTCAAAATTTTTTGTTGTTAAACAAAAACAAAATATTGGTATACACAATCTCAATATCAAGCTATGCTTTCCATCATTTAAGAATATTGCTCTCATTCTCTTTTTCTAATTTCTTTCTATTCTCATTCTTAATTTGTGTTTTTTTTGTTTTGTTCTTGTTGTTTACTAATGCAATAGTATACAGAAAACGTAATACATTATAATAATGTGTTTGTTTGTTTGGTGAGTGGGCGCCAACTAAGCAAAAATAAAATTTTGCATGTATGAAACAAGTTAAATATAATGTGTACGAACGAGTGTAGCCACTAAGCATAATAAAAACATTGCTTTGTGATATAATTATATGTGTACGAGCGAGTGTTGATAGGGAGCAATCTCAGCAAAATAAAAATTTTGCTTTATGAGATAATTATATGTGTACGCATGAGTGTTGATCTTATTCATATTAGACAATATAAATTATGTGTACATGTGTATTTTTGAATATTTTTATTTGTTGCGTACATTGCTTCTATATATGTATGTATATTATATGAGACGATTTCACATTATATGAACGATTGAATGTATACAGCTGTGTGAAATAATATTCTGTGTTTATAGGCATATACAGTACATAAAAAATAAGAATGAAAGAGTAGTGTAGAGTAAAGAAATGTATGAGTAATTTTAATTCTATGAACATTTTTTGTTATATGGTGCAAATAGAAAATATGTGTAGGAACAAAATATTATGTTTGCATGTAGGTAGATTTTATTAAGTTAATTTCGCTATAAATTGATGTATAAAAAAAAACTTGGAATCCTTTTTTTTGGGTGAAAATTTTTTTTTTTTTAAATTTAGGGGTTTTTTAAGTTTTCAATGGCGCCCCTATTTTTTATCGCCCATTGCAAATGCATACTTTGCATGTATGATAAATCCGGGGCTGATTGTACATACAGTTAATAAATTTTAATTTAGATATCTATTCACTCAAATATGCATACATCTTGTATTTGAGGTTTTATATAACATATGCTATTATAAAAGTGAACCTCCAAAAGTATACCTCCAAAAATAGATATTTCCATATTATACTTTATCAGAAATATTTTATGAAAAACGGTAACGCGTATTTTTAATCCACAAATCAGGGACTGGCAACATGTAGTTGATAAATCAATCAAGACTTTATTTTGTTTTTGTGAAAAATTTCAATCTATTTATTTGGCAATTTTAATAATTATGCATATGATACAAATATTTACATACATACATATATCAATCATATGATATAAGTATTACACTTATGGGTACTATGAGTAAGTACGAGGTTCTTTGCACAATTAAGTCACTTTCCTGTCATTCAAATTGGCGATCCATGCTGACGATGTGAAATACTTAAATATGTATTGTATACATATGCATGTAGTTATCTCGGTATATGTAATGCACTGCATAATTTCAACACATAATGTCGATATTAGCATTCTATAATATTTGATGTTAAATCTGTTACTTATATTCACATATGAAAATAAATTTAAATATCGGATTATTTTATAATAAGTAAAAAATTACGTATGTGAAATACATATAATAATATAAAGTACGTATAATACAACATCTATTAATATACGACTATAACTATGTATACACACATTATACACACATTTGTACAAGTACGTAATATTTTTCTTTTTTATTTGAATAATTGAAGTAAAAATGTGCTAATTACTAGGCAAGGTATGAAAAATTTTACATGTGCATATGTACATTCTTCATTTGTATATTAAAAGTAAATTTTGTCTTGATTATAATTTTATTTTAATTTAACCTTATTGACATGAAGTTTTATCTTGTTTCAACCAAAAGAAAAAACTCAAAAAAAAAATAATTTATTTGAATTTAAATAAAGTGTGTTTATTTACTCACATTGTATGTAAATATACATATGTATATTCAATGAATTGGTTTCCTATGAAAAATTAAAACGAAATACATACATATGTAAGTATGTAGTAAATTATAATAATTGTTTAAGGTGATTAAAGAAATATGTAAAATAATTTATTGAAATAAACAATTTTATAATGTGTTTTTTTTTTGACATAATACCATTGCTGACAGAAATACTGTTATATTTTTGTTATGTCAAGCAAAATACAGTATTTTTTATATGGGCATACATACATACAGCATATGCATATATATGCATGTAATCAATACAGCAAAATTAACTATTAGGAATTGTAAGACCATTCCAGTATTGAGATTTGTGTAGAAATAAGTTTCCTTGGGAAGAATTTTCCTTTTTAATGCAACTAATTTAGGTAGTGCAAAAAAATTGATGAAATCGAAGTGAATATTAGTAAATACATGAGCATGACCGGTCGATAGATTTAACTAATAAAAGCAAACAAAATTCAATAAATCTTTGTCAATTTACATGAGTTGAATCAAATATTAAATAGAATGCAATATAGTGAAGAGGAAATGTGACAGATTTTTGAAGGCTTTCGAAATCGTTAATTATTCGGACATCGGAAACCATTAGTAAATATCAACTTGGGAGTTTGTTAAATTCGGCTAAGGATAAATTGAAGATACATGAAAGATGCGGTGTGTACAAAATCAATTGTAATAATTGCGATAAATTTTACATAGGACAAACGAAGAGACCCGTTACAACAAGACTTAAGGAACATTTAAGTGA